AGTGACTCCAAAGGTGGTCACGGAACAGGACCAAAGCGTCCAATCCATCGCTGACGAAATATTTCATTCAAAAGTGTCGTTACTTTTCGAGTACTGTGTGGAGAAGCCTCATGTTGAAGATAAAACATGCCTGCCCGAACTTGTAATACCTCATCGTCCAATAATTCAGGCAACCGATTCTCCAAAAAGTCAACATATGTTGGTCTATTTAGTCGTCCTTCAAAGAAATATGAACCCACAAGTACATCGCCTATTATGCCAGGCCAAACATTTACCGAGAACTGATGTTGAAAATGAGTCTCTCTAATCGCGTGAGGATTTTCATCGACCCCTATGTGCATATTATGGAAATTCACTTCATCAAGGGTAAATGTCCCCTCATCTGTTACACAAACATAAGCAGGAAAGTCTATTTGATCGTAAAAACCATCTGCAAAAACGCATTCGCTGATCACAATCCTGGGGTAAAATCTGTTGAACTGGTTGCAGATGATAGGTGTGCAACAGCTGGATGCGATGTACGGTACGAGATGAGGTTCCTAAGCAATAAGAATCTCGTTTTTAATGTAATCGGCACGCTATTCTTATTTTTTACTTCTTTATAAAAATTACACTGTCACTATCGTGGAATTACAAAATAAAAACTTTTGTCTGGAATCTTTCAATTTTTAACAATGACGGGTCAATGGACGATATTTAATAATTAAGTGAATAATGAATTGAATACAATACAAATACAAAATCAGTTGACTGCACAAATTTTTTGACAATGTAACCTAACCTTCTTTTAGTATTACTAGTATTAGATTACTTTTTCGTATAAAACTTTTCTATTATTAATATCATCAGGAAGCTGTAATTTAATTTTTATAGATTATACACGCGCCACCTTGCATATTTGCATTTTTGTTTGATCGATCAGATGTTTGTTATGTACAATTTCTTCAATTAATTTTTTATCCACCTCGGTGATCGTTCTTAGCACAAATACATATAATAATCAGATATATGACTCTCCTGTGACCGATTCTTGCATACATTGATACGATGGATGCTCAGTGTCGAGGAGTATGATCGATGGGATCGGTAACAACGGCATGGGCCCTCGGTGGAGACCTCGGGAGTTCTAATCGAGCTCCACGTTGGGCGCCATGTCGCGATATATGACCGTTTGTGCCTAATGTTTGAGAATTGTGCGGGGAATTTGCAACATGGGCTCGCCGCGAAGACGTCGAAGCAGGACTTCGAGCCCCACGTCGAGCGCCATGTCGTGGAATATGATCTGAATGTTGTGTTTGGTCGGCATGGGTCCTCAGTGGAGGCATCNAGATAGATAGATAGATAGATAGATAGATAGATAGATAGATAGATAGATAGATAGATAGATAGATAGATAGATAGATAGATAGATAGATAGATAGCTTTATTTGACCATTTGATATACAATAGTACATTTATGGCAAGTCAGAATACACAAAAAAATAACACAAAGATAAAATTACTAAAAAAAACAAGAACTTACACACAACATAAATAAAACAGACATTAGATGTTATTCGTAATATGGCATCGCCAGAAAATCTTCCACTGTATAAAAGCAAAACCTAAGCAAATGCTTCTTAACTACTAATTTAAAACGTGTCATATTTAACAGTCTAACAGAGTTTGTTATAATGCTTCACATTTACTATAATAAATTCTATCGCATATATCGCGAGGATATAATCAATTGTAATGTCAAGGTATGCTGTTATTACAAAACAATAATCATTGTTTTTAGGACAAGTATCAATCACTATTGATACTAGATGGTTCGAACCTGCTTCCGACAGTGAAGAAGATGTAGTTGCTGCTGAGACAGCACTACAATTCGAGGTAAGTACAATTAGATGGTTACACATTTGTATGTTTAAACAAATATTGGTTTGTATGTTTGTTGTAGGTATATTTTAAATTTTAAACCACTGCGAGATCGAAATATGCGTATACAGGGTGTCTGGTAAGTATATAGCATACTCTCGGGAATGTATAGGGGTCAAAATAACCCTAGTTGGTCATATTTTTTTTCCCAAAGTGCCCCTTAACGGAGATACAGAGTGTATAGGGGAGGTCAAAATAACCCTTGTTTGTCATAAATTTTTTTTTCCTAAAGCGTCCCTTAACAGAGATACAGAGCCCCAAAAGAGTATCCAGCGAATTTAAAGAAATTTTAATATTTTATATAGTCCATAAAGGCTTATTTTATATAGGCCATAAAGGCTTATAAAAAAAATGCCTACGGTAGATGTTTTACACTGTCAAGCAAGTCAGGAACGGACTTGCCACCACACTCGTTGGGCCAAAATTTTGACAGGCTTCATTTTATAGAGCTGAAAACTGAATTTTTAAATACTTCAGCCATTCCTCTTTAAAAAAAGTACTTTACACTACATATTTGTTTCAATAAAATTAAGTGCTTTCGAAAAAATTGTTTTTTTGTAGAACACGTCATTGAAATATAAATCAGAATTCAGCAATAAAACACTACCTATAGTAGGATCGTATTCGATGCAAAGTAGAGCAAAAAGTTGTCGGTCTTTTATCAAAGGAAAATCGTGTCATCATTTTTACGAGGCGTGAGATAAATCATTTCAAATTTAAAATGAAATTCAATGTAAAATCTGAAATACCGCTGCATACGCACTGTGTTCTGGTAGTAGCTGTAGTCGCCCAGGTGCATCGAGTGTACGAACTGGTCGGTTATACGTCGTTATACTAACCTGGCGAGCTTTGCCGTCAATTAGAGAGCGCTTCCAAAAAACAAGTAAACAACAGTGGCGCGTACAGAGGTAAAATGTAGTACATATGTGGAATTTAGGAAACAAATTGGATTTATAATAAATTACATTTAAAATAAATAGTTTATGAGAATAAAGGAATTTTTGTAGGAACAGGGGTGCCAGACCTGAACTGATCCCCTCGTCCCTTCATAATGTATAAATTATTCAATTTATAAAACCCTTAAAAGCGTACTTCATTGGTTCCCTTGACAGGCAATGATTTATTACTTTGCATCGAATATGATCCTACTATAGTCGTTTTTGTCGTTATTGACAACACTTGTAAAAATTGTCTGATTGATTGAGTACACAAGACTAAATAATGGAGCATTCTCCCTATATCGAATATGCTGACATGCATCTAATTTATGGACAAGCACTCGGCAATTGTGATGAGGCAAGAGGAATTTGTTCTGACACATTTCCAAATCGATGTTTATCGCATCGAAGAACTTTTGAATGGATTGATTGTAGCTTACGAGAAAGAGGTAAAATGTCAAATCAATCCCTCTAATTCTGAGAAAGTGGTCGGTCCAAGTTCATGCGACAAAATGGATCGTTCATGAGACCCCTCCCCACCAGAACAACTGCTACATCCTTATCACGTCCAAAAGGTGCATGCCATGTCTCCCGCTGATTATCCTGGAAGAGCAAATTGGTTTTGGCAACGATTTAGGCAAAATCCAAATTTTATTAGTATTGTTTTGTTCCCGGACGAATCCAGTTTCACCGAGATGGAATAATGAATTGCCATAATTTGCATATCTGACATGACGAAAATCCCCATGCTATAGTACAGAGCGACAAGGCACCAACAATGGTACATGGTTAACAATGGGAATCATCTCATTCAACCCTTTTTTTAAGACATTAAATGGTGCCATATATTTGCAATTCTTGCAACAAAGCTTAAATGATTCATTAGAAAATATGTGTTCTTAGAAATTAGAAATCAGATGTGGTTTATGTATGACCTGCATCGCCTCATTTTAGCAATTTAGTTCGTCAGCACTTATCAAATACTTGGTGAGCTATTTTGTGGCCACCGAAGTCACCCGACATGACTCCATTGGATTTCTTTTTATGGGAAAATTTAAAGAGGTTTGTGTATGACAGTTCACACCAGGGAAAACCTGGTGTGAACTGTCTGAAAGAATAACACACCATTGCAACGAAATTGGGACAATTTTGGAATATTATTTTCAGTACAACGAGAAAACATACGTCGGATAAGAAAATCTGCTGAAGTAAACAAGAAGAAGCAAAGCTTTTTTTAATAGCCTTGCGTTTAAGTGATTTAGAAATGTATAAATTCTTCTTGTCTCCACACTATTGCCGAGTACTTGTCCATAAGTTAGATGCATGTAAGCATTAACGAGATGTAATAATAATGCCAAATTTTATTATTTTAATACGAATTATTAGTTGTGAATTAGTAGTTGTGATTAGTTATTCAATTATTATTGTCTTTAAATAGCTTAGGCTAATAAACTTTATAATTAAATAAATTAATTTTAAACGTGTTATACAAAAATTAAATTTTTTCGAAAACAGCCGATTTTATCGAAACGAATGTAGAGTACTTTGGCCTACATAAAATATTAAAATTTCATTAAATCATACACGTCGGTTCAAAAATTAGAACCGAAAAGGTAAATCGCTGGATACCCCTTTGGGGCTCTATATCTCCGTTAAGGGGCAATTTAGGAATTTATGATAAACTAGTTTGAACTCCCCTCTACACTCCCAAGAGTATGCCATGTACTTACCAGACTGTATGGATAAAGGAAAATTCAAAAGTATTTACTGAACATTTTTTTAGTATGGATGGTATGCAAATCCTATCTATAATAGCGACTACCCAGAAATAATGAAGACTCGCATTGCAGAACGCAGTTTAGCTGAAGGCTTCAACCACTCCCGTCTTCCAGCATTCACCGACGAAGAAATTGCATACATCAGCGGCACTTTCGATTACATGGGTCTCAATATGTATACTTCGAACCTAGTAGCAGCCAAGGAGGAAGCTCCAATTGCAGAACCAAATTACGACTACGACCTAGGAGTTAATAGCTACCAGCCCGATGACTGGGAGTCATCCTCCATATCTATTTTGAAGGTATTTTTTTTTGCTTTAATAATGAACTACAAAAATAAAATAATAAATCTTTGTACGTGATATCAGGGTTAATATTTAATCAACCAATTAACTTTCTTACTATAAAAGCTCTAAAAGAAAATTAAATACCCGTTTATAGTGACAACTTTACATACAAAAATTTCACGGCTAGTATAGTCAGCATAGTCTCTGTAGTAATATAATCCAATGAACAATTATTCATATATATGGCCAATATTCTATATATTGTTAATATTATTTATTATTATTATAAAACGATGTAGTGAAATAATTTCCTTTGTCCATTAGATAACTCCATGGGGTATAAGAAAACTTCTAAATTGGCTGAAGGAAACCTACAACAATCCAGCAATTATAATTACAGAAAATGGTATTCCTGATAATAGTTCCATCATAGATGATGTTACAAGAGTTCGTTTTTTCAGGGTACTTAATATATTTATGTTATATATCTATTTGGTAATACTAAAACTGTGTCGATTTTCATGCATGGCACATTAGATTGATCCACTCCAATATAGTTGCATAAAATATAAAATGTAAAGTCGCCCATGCTACTAAACTTCCTTTACTAAGAAAAAATAAAGAAATAAAGAGAAATGAAAGGTCTATTGTAGCTAAAACAATATGCCTATTTGATGTGAAAAGAAAAGCACTAAAATCTAACAAACTAACTAAAAATGTTTTTTGGAAATGTATGGAAATTTCCAAAGACCTCAGAATGACTAGACAAGTAATTCCCTATGCATTGCAAAGGAATTGTTTTGATTTTCCACAACTTGAGACAACCTGCTATTAAACAAGGATGAAGATAGTTCTTTGTTTACTAGGGAACTCTTAACCAGTGGCGTGTGTGTTAAAAAGAGTGATACATTTTAATATTTGTCTAATTTATATATACTTACCGACTTCACACCTAATTTGATTTTAAAATAATGTCAATGACTTCTTTTTTAAATAAATAGAACCATGTTTGTTTTACTCCATAATGGCACTTACTGCCGAAAAAAAGTAATACTAGTTACAACAATCTTTATTTTCTTAGTAACAATATACATCAATATGTTAAATAATACTAATTAATAAAAGTTTTTACCAGTTCAAATAGGAATCACAAAGTTACAATTACAGTTGCATATAGTATGGTAGCTATACTATACTTGTATACAATAATATGCATATCAAATAGAACAATTAAGTGATAAATGAAAGAGAAATAGTAAATGGGGTTATTACACATATTTTTAAGTTCTTTAATTCTTAAAACCATATTTATTGGATCTAATTTGTTATGGTCGCAATTGCTACAAAGTGATCCCGAATTATGTGCAAAAAATTGTTTATACAATTTTAATAGGGGTCCTGTATTTTGACTAAACGAACTTGGGAATTCAGGAACTGCTGTGTCCTTAAGATAAACTCGGCCACCAGGTCTTATTAAGAAATCACTTGATGTGAAGTGATCTGAACATACAACACTATCTTTAGGACTATTTTCCTTTCCTATGCAGCTCAAAATGCGAGAGAGCCAAACGTCTCGGCGTTCAATATTCGAAGGAATCCTAAAATCAAATTACCTAGGTATATTTCCTTTTAAATAATGTTGCCTTTGCAATTCATGTTACTTTTTATTTAACCGTAACACACAATTCACGTTTTAAAAAAAATATTTTATATTTTCAATATTATTGCACTGAAAATTTTCTATTTCAAATTTTGTTTTAAACTACCGTCTGTTATCTGTTACGCCCATGGTAAATTTACCTACCTGTGAAAAGAGTTATTGCCTCCACTTTTAAAGCGAAATCTAGATATAACACAATATTTTCCCATTGTCTATCCACAAAAAACAATAAATTCTGCCAAAGAAACTAATAATCCACGGTAAACACAACGTTAGACTCAGTAAGCACGCAAAGAATTAATGGCGGCCGACAGTCGTAAACAATAATAAACATCTAGCATAGAGCAGGTACTGCGCGCGCACCTTACCACATGTCTTTAGCCAATAGGAGGCTGTTTTCAAAATATTTACAGCAGGACAAAACAAACCAAGACAATGCACTGTCTATCCTTTCTGAGGTCGTTGGAAATTTCAAATAATTGTTTTTGATTTAAGAGTATTTTATTAACACTGATCGATTGTAGAATTATCTCAGCAATGTAAGAAGTGCTATAGAGGATGGAGTGAATGTAATTGGCTACAGTGTATGGAGTCTTATGGACAACTTCGAATGGGTACTGGGCTACACGTAAGTTCATCTAAAAGTAATAGGCAACGTTTTTGGAAAACATGTAATATCTGCTTTTGGATACTTCTTAAGTATATGAAAGCAATTTTTTTCAGAAATATATGTAAATTCCTTGAAAAATAACAATATTTCTTTAGCGTATCAAGGCAATTGATAAAGTAAACTGGTTTCATGCTAATAAAATATGAAAATTAATTCAATGATTTATACTGTTTTAATTGTTTTCTTTTTTCAGACAAAAATACGGGCTCTACCATGTAGACTTCGACAGCATTAACAGGATGAGAACACCTAAAACTTCTGCGGCTTACTACAAGAAGGTTGCCGAAACTCATTGTTTGGTAGACACTTGTGAGGAATAAACAAAAGTTTATATTTTCAATTAAAACTAAAAAATAGACATTGCTTTTTTTATTAAATAATCCAGAACCCAAAAAATTTTAACAAAAATGTTATTCTTAGCCACCTTTTGCCTGTGAAGTTAAGGTAAGGACAAAAAATTTATCAAATTTTATTTAATGGAATATAAAATGTGAAACTAATATATTTCCAAAATATTAACTTACCTAATTCAGTTTGGGAAAGGAAGTTGTGTCAAAATTCTTAAAATTTATTAAATTTTAGTAAGGAGCCCAAACACGCAACGTTTATTAAAAATCAAAATATACAGGATGCATCATCCTCAGATGTAAAAGTGTTTGCACCCTCTGGCCAAACAAAAGCAAGTAATCGCATACACCCCAATCCAAAATGCTTGCTTAAAAAGATATAGGTATTGTATTAAAACTTTTCTTGTGGTTTATTATTTGACCAAATTAAAATATGTACATCAAAATCAGAATACAATTAACAAACAAATAGACAATGCTAGTTATAAAAAACTATAGTAGGCACTCAAAGTGATTGATGATAAACGTTTGAACTTTTAAATATGTTTCTCTCTAATCAGTTCCTAATATAATTTTGAAATTTCAATAAAATCTACATTATACGTCTCTAAACCCACAAGCTTGATCAAAAACAATTTTGGATTAAAAGCTAGATACACAGAACTTCACATAATTTTTTAACACGCCTTTTTTAAGGAAGCATTTTATTTGTGAGGTATATTCGGTTAATTGCTTTATTTTAATTTAACTTTACGAATAAGAACAATTTAAATCAAAATAATAATAAATTTACATTTACCAAAGGCGAAGGGTAGTGAATTTTTACAATCTGCATATTTGGTCACAAGAAAATCGTCATGAAATTCGGACAAGATCTTTTCAACACGAATATTCTGTGGACTGGCTCTGAATAATTAGCAATAAAGTTTGAGCACCTTCCTTCTTACCACCTCGTCTAAATTTCCAGTCATTTCTAAACTTTCTAGAAAACCATCTATTTATATTATTGGAGGATGTTCAATTAAAAATACAACAAAATAGCTGGATACAATGGATACAATATGGAATGGCTTAATGAAAATTATATGTTGCGATGGATAGGTAGAAGACCGAATGCCAATGTCTGTCATAATGGTGCATAGGGTCCAGTGTCTTGGCCATCCAGATAGCCCTTATCTAAACCCCCTGGACCTCTATGTTTGGAGTTATCTGAAAAGTAAAGTTTACTCTACTCCAATAGATACAAGACCACAACTAATGCAGCAAATAGAAGACGGGTGTAATGAATGAAAAGAAAACCATCACATGATATGAACTTCAATTATATGTACCGATGTGGGTGGTTCGCATCTTGGACAATTGTTGTAAATACGTAACATTAATTTAAGTTGTTCTTATTTGTAAAGCTAGTAGATTAGGCCTCCAGGGGAAACTAAAATGCACCAGGACAGGACAGGTGATGTGGAAAGAAGTGTAAAGAATTTTGTTGATGTGCTTACAAATTCCATTTACTTTTAAGCATAAACATAAATAAGTATAATTGTAATATTATGGTTAGAAATGTCTGCACAAGGGGATCGTATTGGTCAATAACTTGAAAACGGCGAATCTTAAGGAAAAAATTCAAGTTACCTTTTTTATGTATTTTGTGCATTAGAATCCGTTACAATAACTTGTAAAAAATGCAGTGGTGTAGGTTTTTTTTAAAAAAAGGGGTACCCCCTGTCCAGTACACCACTGGTCAAACCTTCAGAGCTCATATTTTAGGGAATGCAAAGCCCACTATCATACATTGTCTGTACCAAATTTTATTGAAATCGGTTAATAGATTTCCGAGATATAAACAGAAAATAATTTTTTTTAACAACTCCAACGCCCTGTATCTCTGTATCTGCAAGGTAAATACCTATTATTTTAGAGGTCTATCTGCCTCCGAAGTTTCCTGCATAAAATTCGGACCATCCTGTAGAACAAAAACACTAAACAAAATAAAAGAGAAAGCTAAAAATTTCTGCAAAAAGTTTTGAAGTCATTTATTTGTGACATACCCAGTATTAGCGTTGAGTGAAGAAATACTATTACTCAGTTAACGGTATTAGTAATTTAATTGTTCCTTGTACCCAAAAGACTAGTCAAGTGTTATTTTTTATAATATACTAGCACAGCATCTATGCTGTGATAATAGTTTCCGAATTTAAGGCATTTTTCCAAGGTATAATTACATCTTCTAGATCATTCTCATAAAGTTTAAGATTAATTCATAGCCTTCATGTAAATATGATTACCAGCCACTTGATCAGTAATTTTGCTTAGAACAGCAATTTTATTTCCTTCATGCAATTAAATTTTGGTAAAATTAAAAATTATTAAACAGTAAGATCAAGATTACATTAAAACACAACATTCTGTTTCAGCGCCTGGTGATTGGTATAATCTTTCACAAGATTTTATTCAACAATAGCGTTATCTTGCTCGTAGACGCAACAGTTGTCATTGGTCATTGTAAACGAATATTAATTCATGATGCTTAGAATGAGGGAGTTTTAGTTGACAGTACCGGGCGTGCAATGTTGGATTGCCTAATGTATTCAAATCCTTTGATAATATTTTAAGTATATACCTATTTACTAACAGCAGTGAATGCATCGAGCAGGAGTGAATTCAAATGCCTAGGTAAGTAGATTTAAATATGTATCTTTCAACTTTCAACTGACTATACCATATATTAATGATATCATTATTTCAAAGTAAGAGCAAGAATGTGATATTTTTAAACTGCTACTGCAACGCCAAAAAACGCCTTATAAATCAATAAATTTAGATTTTCGACTAATTAAATTTGAAATAAACAAATGTAAATGAAACCATATCACTTATATGACAGTTTTAATTATTTAATTTTGAACAGCTGACTATGTACATTTATATACAGTATATTTTTAAAATGCTGTATGCAGGTTTACTCCTACATTTTTGATAGAGCTTAATCAATCCACTATTTTTCTTTAGATTCACTAGTATTGCTATCGCCAAGGTATAATTTCTCAATCACTTTATTTTTTAGGGACTCATATATCTAAACGTGAAGAAAAAGGAATAAATTTGAGAAATAACTTTATAGATAGACGTTACTTACTGTTATGATAGGTAATTGCTTCTTGTGAGCTGGATCTACTAAATAAGGTATATCTTGTAATTTAGCCCATCCATAGTGAATGCCAATGATTAAAGGAATTCCTACTATTAGTACTATGTTGTCGTTTATCAATTTTCCCAATTTTCTTTTCGACATTTTTTCCCAGTCAAACTAAAATAATGTAATCAAAAGTGAGGTTATAACTTAAATTTTATATGGTTATAACCACATACCACCTAGCCTAGACTGGCCGTATCTAATTCCAATGTACGGGTACCAGTGAATGCAAAATCCGGGGAAGTGGAGAGTGGAAGGCAATCTGATCGCGCGCATCTTTAAACAGATCCGGATTAAGTAATATTTTTATTACATATTAAACATTATATTGCATCGTATGATAAGTATTGAATTTTAAGTTTGTAATTCAGAAAATAGTATATTTTAGTGTCATATTAAATAAAACTACAAAATAATTTAAATATATTTATTATCCTCTAAATAATATTAATTTATTTAATATTTGTCATTTCGTAGATTTTACCGAATTAAATAATTTGACATCATGATTTATTCGTACATTGATATACTTTTCACATTCAGCCCTTACAAGTTCTATTAAATGATTACAATTGTTAGGCAAATTATCAAATTGATGTTCATGCAAATTTTCAAATATGTTCACATTCAGAAAGTTTTTTAATACATGATAAACAATTTTATTTTTCTGTAGCCTAGGTGTTCTGCTTTCATCATTATTAAAAAATTTTAT